GTGTGTGATGCCCCACAGACAGGCGGCCCCCTTCACACTGGGGTGCCCTGTAACAACTATAGCCCATAAAGAATATATATATGGTCAAAAAATCAGTTATCAGAATAAATAAAATATAAATCAATAACCATGAAGGTGAACCAGGTGTGGGCTCTGCCCCAAGGAGAGTGTGGTCACAGGAATGTGCTGTGAAGGGAAGGGGCGGGGAGCTACAGACTGGACTGGGGTGACCACTCCAAAGGAGGGAAGATGCATAAATTACATTGTGAAGTGTGACACATCATGAAATTATTTAAATGTTTATCATTTCCAAAAGAAGAAAGAATAATATAATGTTCTTAACAAGGGCAAAAATTCCTCTTATACTTAAGACTTCTGTATTTCTTCAGATGGAGATTGTTTCAAATGAAAAAAAAAATAACCCAATTCGAACTCTAGCTTAAGTGTTGAGAAATGAAATACATAGATGTCGGTAACTAACTTTGAAATGCATCAGAGAAATAAGGTGATGGATCCATGGATACAGATCAGGGATGAAGCGAATGTGGCGAGTGCTAAGCTGGGGTCTGGCTGTGTGCTCTGCTCTGTTACTTCAATTCTCTGTGTGCTTGGAAATCGTCACGGAACACACCACAGACTAAGGGGTTTGGTTAGAAGTAAAAAGAAAAGGTAAAAAACAGCAGACTGAGCAGTGATTGTGACCACACTCTGGGGAGGCAGTTCACGGCCTCCAGACTGTGCTTAAAGCCGGGAGTGCTCCCATTTCTCTCAGCAGCCTGGAGGATGGAGACCACCTTAACCTGGTCCATGAGCCTGTGAGCCTGGCAGCTCTGCCTGGAATCTCAGTGTCTCCTCAGTGTCAGCTTCCTACATGTTCACGCGTCTGCTTCTCAGAGGTTCTGCAGCAGCTACGCTCTGGATGTGGTCTGGTCTAACACCTGCATTGATTTGTGTGTGTCCTCTTAGAAATTTGTAATGTCTTCCATGACCAGAATCGTCTTTTCTCTCAGAAAAGTTGCCTCTTGTGTCAGGGCTGGGGCACCACAGAGCATGGGTGGCATGTTCTGAAGGAACTTGTGCTTCAGATCTTGGGTGAACATCCACAGCTTCCCCCCAGGGAGTGCTTGTCTCTCCTGGCAGCTTTCTAGCGCCCCCTGGAGGTCGTCTTGCCCTCTTATTCTTCACATGGAAGTGGTCAGCCATTATCTTGGATAAGTCCCTGCCCAAACTACCTGTTCTCTTGCCCAGGCCTTGAGAGCTGGCTCTGAATGTTAAGGAGGCCTGGGAGGTGGCTTCTTGGATCCACAGCACAGGCATTTGACCCCTGGCAGGTTTTTGAGGTCCACCCGGGGTCCAGGGTTATGACAAAGTAAGAGCCAGTCAGAACTGAGCATGAGCAGATCAGGATTCTTTTCCTGCTAGGAATGATTCTTATTGGCCCCGGAGTTATAAAATACCTTGTTCCCCATTAGCTAAGTTGCTGGTGTGCTCATGAGTAGTCACCTCCAGACCACCCCCAGGGTCAGGATTTCCATGGACACATCCCACACCCCAGCTCTCCTGCCGGCTCCATCCTGTCCCACAGCCTCAGTCCTGCCTCCGGGCCTGGGGCCTGCTCACCTGAGCAGAGCTGAGGCCTGGATCCCTCCCCTCTACCTTGGCCTCTCTCCTGTCCCTGTCGATGATCACTTCCCCTGTTGATGATTTCCCTGAGTCCTGTTCTCTGTGTCCATCCCTTCTGTCCCCCCTTTGCCCACTAGTGTCCTTTGCCTACTAGAGGAGGGACGTGGAAAATGACCCCTCAGGCCAGAACAGCTGAGGTTATTACTGAGCCCCAGTGCTTCCCCTCACCTGGACCTGACCTGGGGTTTGGGCTGACCCCCTCAGGGCTGGGCAGGCCTGGTCAAGGCCTTCTGGACTCCAGGTCTGTGTTGTCTTTCAAGGGCCCCAGGGTCTGTCCTTCCCCAGCCTCTGTCTGAAAGTCCCTGATGGTGGTCCCGGTGTGGGGCTACCCGTCCTCTGTGGGAGGACGTGGGTGGACGCTCCACATGCATATGTTGTCTGTGATGCTCAGGGATTTTCTCAAATTCTATCACTTCCATTCTCCACTCTTTTAGACACTTGTATTATTAGCTTGTTGGAGTCTACTGATCAATCAACTCATATTCTTGTAAATCTTCTGTTTGTCATTTCTTTTTCACTTTTTTTCTCTAATGGTAGTGAGACTGTAATATTACTTTAATATCAAGTTCATGTGCTGATATTACTCCTATGATCAAACTTCTAATTTCCAAGAGCTCTCTTATGCTATGAATACATACAATTTTATAAGATCTTCTTTTCCTGACACCAATGTTTAAAAATATTTTTACACCTCATTGCTATTGATAACAGTGGCCGGGACCTGCCAGGGCTCCGGCCTCTCCGCTCTCACAGCAAACACCCTCCTTCCTCAGCACGGGGCTCAGCAGAGTTGACACGTGTCCTATCACCTGTACTGAATGTCCCTCTCTCATGACAGTGCAGCCCCACAGCTCCTCTCTGCTCTTCACTGTCTTTTCAGGGGAGACAGCTTCGGGAGGAGGGAGCCTCCAGGAGAGGGAAGTGAAGGGGAGGTGAAGAGGAGGTGAAGGCAGAGGACACTGGAAAACGGGAAGAAGCCCTCTATCTTACTGACAAAGGCTTTCTCAAAGAACAGTCTGTGGGGCGAGAAAATAACAAGAATAATGAACAACCATATACCAGAGACATTTTGTGGGGGTGGAGTGGGGAATGGGATCAAAAACGGGGGGTTGGGGGTGGGGAGGGAAGTACACAGGATTATGGTATTGGCACATGGGTGACATGGTGATGGGAAACCCACGGGGATTACAATTGAGATGGAAAAAAAAAAGTACAAAATGATGTAAAAATAAAAAAAATTGCTGTGTAAAAAAAAAAAAAAGAAAGAAAAAGAACAGTCTGTGGAGCCCCTGTTGTCCCCCAGAATCTGTCACAGGCACCATGAGGTTACAGCAAATTTCAAAGCATCATGGGACTCTCTCTGGTGGTGCACCAGGGTGAAGAGCAGCACTATGAAGCTATCCACAGCCACTACAGCACAAGTCCAGTCCATGGCCAGCACAGTGACCCACACGGCCCAGCAGACCTCTCCTGTTGTAGCCATGCTCCCCTCAGCAGTGTATTTCAGTAGCTCTGCCTGTTCTGCTCACCACTCTGTCTCTGGTGAATCTTCTCACCCCCGCACCTCTAGTAACTGTACCCCAGTTCTTGTATGCATCAATATTAATTTTTTTTCAAAATTAGACATCATTTGTCTTGTCACTATTTTGGCATTTGGCATTAGTAAGAATGGAGATTATAGCACCAATTGCAGAAACAGTAATTCTTCACCAGCACTTACCTGCTGCTTCACCTGAAAATGTCCTGAAATGCATTAAAAGTTATCTTCATTATTGTGTCATCATTAGATCCACATTTTAAATACCTAGTGTGGTGACCTGTGAGTACACAGAGCTCTTTGTGGGTTTCCCACACTGTCTTCAGGAAATATCTGATGCAATGAATTAGACTCTTTTATAAGTGCATAACACCATTCTTACCTGAAGGGATGAATGACAAAAACTAAGGCTAGATTGGGTGAATGAGCACTTTCCTCAAATGAGTGTCTATTTCTTTAATAAACTCAACAGATAATTGACAAATGATAGTAATTTTGCCTTGATAAAACAAGCTCTCCTGCAAACCAAGTTATGAAAAATTGAGTGCCAATACTATCTGACAACTTACAATACTTATTTTTCTTTTGGGATTAGTGATTAAAAATAAAACACTTTTTTTTCTTCATTTGATTCCAGTATAACACTGAAGATCTCTGTAACTTAGTGAATTACCTAAAAAAATTATAACTTAGCATATGTTCCAACCAATATACAAGAGAAACCTATGGAAATAAAATAAAATAGGAAGTTGTTGGGGACCAACCCCAACTTTGTTTGGATCCTGAAGAGGGTGGAGAAAGCGTCGGTGCTGAGGTTCTGTAAGAGAGAAAATGAGAGATAGCTCACTCCAAAGCTGGGAGAAACTGCTCCATTTATTGCCTGGACAGTGGGGTTATTATATGGTAAAAGTTGCCATTATTACTTGATACCCATCATAACCACATATTTTGATTATACAAAAGAACAATATGAAGCAGTGCATGATTGATTATGCTTTCCAGGGAAGGAGGCGAAACTTGTTACAGTAAGTTTTACTATATCAACATAATTAACTATGTCCCAGAACGCCATGCTTATTATCACCAGGAAACTTTCTATAGAAAGCAATCATTTGTTACCTAAGAAACATTGAGTTACTACTACTAAAACTTAACAAAGGCTACCAATATTGTTTTTTCTCATGGGAAAGTCATTATAGTCTCGGCCCACTGAGAAGGGATTCTTGTGGCCCAACAAATCAAGTAGCTACATGTTTTAGATCTTTTAGCAAAGCAAGAGTGGAGATAAGGCACCTGTTCGCTAAGAAGGGAACTTCCTTGAAGCCAGCTTCACACATTTTCCATGAGCAGGTCGGTGACCAGGTCAAGCGGTTGGGGGGAACTAGGCACAACAGGAAATATTACGTGATATAATATCAGGTTTCCTTGCACATTAACCTTCGAGGAACTCCCACCTCTACAGCTATAATTTAGTATCAAAGTGGAATAGTCACAGTTATCTGAAAACCCGGCTGCTTCCTTCACCCCTCCAGGCTGCTTCTCAGCCCAAATACACTCCTCCTTGGGAGGGGAGGGAATGTAGATCCCCCTTTCTTTGGGGGTCACTGCTATAGCTTCATGTCTCCTCTCACAGTCTCGGGTGAGGGGTGCAGCCTGGATAACCCCACACTCACCCCATTCTCACTCCCCCTGTCCTGGGGTTTCCAGGGAACGCTCAGCGTCATCCTGCTCCGTGACAGAGTCTCCATCGACTCCCTGGACTCACTCTCCCCAGACCCCAGGACGGGGTGTGATGTCCCCCACCCTCCTGCTGCTGCTCTGGGGCTCCCTGGCCCAGATGGAGACCTGGGCAGGTGAGTGCGGGGTCCTGCTGGAAATTGTCACTCCAGGAGTGGGGAGCAAAGACCCCACTGTGGGTGCGTGACCCAGGAAAGTCTCATTTCCTCCCCAACATCTGTACTCCCTTCAGGGGTTACAGGACCCTGTGTTCTGGCCCATCTCTCCCTCCCCGCCTCCCCTGATGCTCTGGTCCCCCAGAGTCTGAGCCCTTCTTAGGCCCTTTTTCCACATTAGGAGCCCCCTTACCCCTTTCTCCCACCTGATTGATGTCCCTGGAACTGTGCCCCCTCTGAGAGGAGGGTCAGCACGCGTTTCCCTCTATGACTCCCAGGTCCCCACGCCCTGAGGTATTTCTCCACTGTGATGTCCCGGCCCGGCCTCAGTCCACCCCACTTCATTGCTGTGGGCTATGTGGATGACACACATTTCGGGCGGTTCGACAGCGACTCTCCAGGTCAGAGTGGGGAGCTGCGGTCGCCCTGGGCGGGGCAGGTGGGGCAGGAGGATCTGGACGAGGAGACCCGGATCCAAAGGGATGAGGCACAGAGGCTCAAAGCACTGTTCCGAGACCTGCGCCGCCACTACAACCAGAGCCAGAACGGTGAGCTGCTCAGAGCCGGCTGGTCCAGGTCACAACCTCATTCCCATCCTAAGGCAGGGGGTGTCTCTAGACTCAGGGTCCTACTGACCCCTTGAGACTGGTGGACCTGCCTGGCGCCTTTCCCCTGGAAGACCCAGCCGAACCCTCCCGCCTGCAGTTTCATGTTCAGTTTAGGGTGATTCAGAGGGAGAGGGCGGGTGACTCTGGGTGACTGCGGGGCTGACATGGGGGTTCAGGGTCTCACACCCTCCAGAGACTGTGTGGCTGCGAGGTGGGGCCAGACGGGCGCCTCCTCCGCGGGTTCGAGCAGTTCGCCTACGATGGCGCCGATCACATCGCCCTGAACCCGGACCTGCGCTCCTGGACCCCCGCGGACCCGGTGGCCCAGAACACCCAGCGCCAGTGGAAGGCGTCGGGGAGGGCGGAGCGCGTCAGGGACATTCTACAGGGCAGGTGCCCGCTATGGCTCCACAGACTCCTGCAGCTGGGGAAGGAGGTGCTGCAGCGCACAGGTAAGGGGGCTCAAGGCCTCGGACTCCCCTCACCCAGAGCCCCACAGGGAATTTAAACGGGATAATGGGCAGAACAGCGCCTGCTTTCTAGTCAGAGGGGCGGGGCCACTGGGTGTCATATTCTGTATCTGAGAGCGACTCGCTCAGAAGACTGCTTTTCTAGACAGTCAAGGAATCCGGTCTCTCCTGATGGAGGAGGCCATGCCTGAAATCACCCTTCACTGCATGTTTGACCCGGCATCATCCTTGGAGCTATGAGTTTTTCTTTCAGGTCTTGTCTTTGGTCTGAGAACAGTTTTGGACCTGACTCTGCCTTTCTGTGTCACTCACCCCTGCCCAGGTCAGGAGCAGAGTCTGTGTCCTCCTTCGAGACCTGCACCCTCCCACCCTGGGCTCTCACCCGATGATCCCAGATTCCCCAGACTGGGCTGGGCTCTGGTTTTGTGCTTCCTCCTCCACAACAATGTCATGTCCAGTCTGAGGATGGTCACGTGAGGCTGCTTCAGTGTCCATGGAAGACACTGAATAATAACCCCAAATTGATATTTCTGATTTGTTCCCTTTCAGATCCCCCCAAAACAAACATGACCCACCACCCAATCTCTGAACATGAGATCACCCTGAGGTGCTGGGCCCTGGGCTTCTACCCTGCGGAGATCACCCTGACCTGGCAGCGAGATGGGGAGAACCTGACCCAGGACATGGAGCAGGTGGAGACCAGGCCTGGGGGAGATGGAACCTTCCAGAAGTGGGCAGCTGTGGTGGTGCCTTCTGGAGAGGAGCAGAGATACATGTGCCATGTGCAGCATGAGGGGCTGCCGGAGCCCCGAGTCCTGAGATGGGGTGAGGATGGGGACGTGGGCACAGAGGCTTCTCTCAAGGGGATCAGGGGCCCTTCTGGTCACCCTCAGAGGTCAGGATGAGGCCTGGGCTCCCCTTCCCTTCCAGAGCCCCCTCCTCAGCTCTCCACCCCCTCCGGGGGCCTCATTGCTGGCCTGGTTCTCCTTGGAGCTGTGCTCACTGGGGCTGCGGTGGCTGCAGCTGTGATGTGGAGGATACTTCGCTCAGGTAGGGAAGGGAGTGGGGGATCCTGTCCACTGGGGGATTTCATGTCCCTGGGAGAACTTGCCCCACCTGGTTAATGGGAAGCACCAGCCACACACCTGTGCGACCCAAAGGGGTTTGGTCCAGTTCCCCCTCTCCCTCTAGCATAATGTCCTTTCTTCATTTTCCTAGTCCTGACCTGGGGCTTTAGTCACAGCAAAGTTCTGGAAATTTCCCTCTAGTCCAGAATTAGAAAATACCTGTAGAATGTCTGACCTGACTCCTCCCTGGTCTCACATGATGTCTCTTCCCACAGGGGGACAGAGAGGAAGCTACACTCTGCCTGCGGGTAAGCGTGGATCAGGGGATGTGTAGATGGCGCCCCTGGGACAGTGTAGATGGAGCCCCTGGGGGAGTCACCCTTTCAGTCTCTCCTATGGTCTCCTCTCTCGTGGCTCTGACCAGGTCTGTGTTGTTCTTCCCCAGGCAGCGACAGCGCCCAGGGCCCTGATGTGTCTCTCAGCCCCTAAAGGTGAGAGCCTGGGAACTGTGTGGAAGGGGCTGGGGCAGAGAGGAGTGACAAAGTTATTGGGGAGTGTGAGGGGGCGTTCTGAGGATGGGTGGGCTGTTGACAATTTTGACACTTAGTGATTCACCTGAATTTGTTCCTGACCAGTATCCTTCAGAGTGAGACAGCTGCCCTCTGCGGCTGAGTATTACAGGATTTTTCTCCTCCCCATCTTGTGACTTTGGAACTTTTGGTTTATTTAATTTTATTTATTTACTAGCTGTCATTTATTGCTTTAAAATTTTAAAAATATTCATTTATTCATATAAGAACTGGGATGCAAGCCAGGGATGTAGGGAGGTGGGAGGTTTCACCAGGACAGAATGGGGAACAGAACAGACAGATCTGCTGAAATACACTGGTGAGGGAAGTAACAGGTGGGTCGGAGATGCCTGCTGCTCCATGTGGTTCACCTCCCTGGTGGGGGATTGAATTCGGTGCTGAAGTGGCTGTGGATGGATAGCTTCATAGTGCTGTGCTTTTACCCACTGCACCACCAGGGAGGGCCCTGATTTAAATTTTTAAAATTAAATTTATTTCCTTACATCACTGCTAGTTTTGTATAATATCTGACTCTCTGTCAGTCTGATCCTCACAGTTCTCCTCACCACAGCACCCTGATGCATCACCTCAGTCCCTGGGCTCTTCCCTGCCCTGTCCTGACCCCTCCCCGCTTGCAGTGTCACCATCTCATGTCCTGGGTCAGGTCCTGCCCATCCCACTGCGAGGTCAGGGTGATCTCCGCAGGTGAGAAGCCCAAGGCCCAGCCCCTCAGGTGACCTCGTGGTTAGAGGTGGGGTAGTGGGCCCCATGTGTTTTAGGGGGATCCACTTGCTCTGTTCCCCAATGATATATAGTGAATCTTCTCATTGCCCCTAACTGTTCTTGTATGTAAAGGTACATACAAGAACTACACTGCAGTGCTTGTATGTATAAATAAATAAAACTTTACAAAACTTAAATTAATAAGAGAATTTCTTTTTTTACTTTGCTGTAGCCCCCGTAGTTCCCCCATCAGCACATCACCCTGAACAATCCCCACACTCCCTGTGTTCCTCCTCCTGTTCTGGCCTCCTCCACCCCCTCCCTTGCTGTGAGCCATTTGTAGATTTTAGAGCACTTGGGTTGTTTCCATGTCATGGATACTGTGAATAGTGCTGCAGTAATCTCAGGAGTCAGCTTTCCTTATGAATTAGTGTTTTTCTGTCTATTGGGTAGATTCCTGGTTAGTGGGATCCCTGGGTCACATCGTAGATCCGTTTTTAGTATCTGAGGAGCCTCCACACAGCTTTCCACAGTGGCTGGGCCTGTTTGCTTCCCACCAGCATGTAAGAGGGTTCATCATCTTTCCATAGCATTTACTGTTTCTTGTTTTTCTTTATTGAATGTGGCCCCCTCTCACTGGAGTGAGGTACACCACATCGAGACCCCCTTGATTCAAAACACAATGAGAAACATCACACCTGTGCGAATGGCCTGTATCAAAAAGACCAGATACAGAGAAGACATGGAGAAAAGGGAACAGTCCTGCACTGTTTGGGGGATGCAGCCTGGCCCAGCCATGAGAGAAAACCGTGTCCAGATTTCTGAGAAGATGAAACTAGATCCACCACAGGACCCAGAAGCCCACGCCAAGGCGCCCACCCGCAGAGCACACACCCCACTGTGAGGCCCCGCTCTCCCCTGACCCCTGCAGCCTACTCACAATGGCCAACCTGTGGGGAGGGGTGCAGAGGACAGACACTCCTCGTCAGAACATAAACTCATGCCATCTGGGGCAGCCTGGATGGGGCTGGGGAGGACCGTGCCAACTGAGATAAGCCAGAGGAGAAAGACAGGTACATCCCTTCTTTGTGGGTGTGGGGAAATCAGACAAAGGGCTGGACTTCAAGCAAACCCTTAAACCTCCTCCTCCCCCCCAGGCTGTGCCTGGTGCTGACCAGGGCTGCAGACCAGTCTGGGCTTCCTGGCCCAGCAGTGCTGATGGGGACTGAACCTCTCTAGCTTGGATCAGACTCATTTGATGACAAAGCCTGACTCCAGCTGATGGGGCCCCCCATTGTGTCTTGTGCCTACTACACCCTGGAATCCTCTAGCTCCTGCTATGTCCTGGGGCTGAGAAAGATCTTGTACTCAATGCTGCATGTTATGATTTTATAGCATTTTTATGTCCAAGGGACAGAAGATGACATCTTCGGACAAATTGTTCCTCTCCTGACTGACAAGTATTGGCGTTTTGAGCCTTTTTCTCTTTGCAATAATGAGATGTTATTTTGTCCATGTCATTCCCACATGAACCATCCACAATATTTGAAGAGCCAGGTCTACTGAGAACCATGTTTCTTGTCTTGTCATCACCATGGAGTAATAAACCTCCCACCACTTGATGGCTACTGTGGGTTGAGAGGTTTACGGCAAATTACATGACAGCACAGTAGTTTCTCAGCAGCTGGATTCAACTGTTTTCCTGTCTGGTCCTGCCTGTCTCATACCAAAAAGATCATCTCTGGATTCACAGAAGCCTTCATCATAGGCTTACAGATAGGTGAATCCATGAACCTCCTCTCTGGGAGATTCCTACCCCACCTGCCATCATGCTTTGCGCCCTGGGATGGCTTCTCCTGCGTCTACCCTGTCACCTCTGCCATTTCTGCTACACCAGCTGGTGTATGTAGTTTGTACCTCTCGGTCAATATGCACAATTTCCATTCCTGATGGTGATTTCTGTGTTCTCACATCTTAGGGCCATTTATTAATGACTCAGCTCACCCTACAGACCTTCACCTTTTCTCTGACTACAACTGTGGAGAATATATTACATTGTCCTTCTCCTTTGAAGGGAAGAGACCACAGTTATGTGAAGAAGGTGATAGAAAAAGCACAGCAGTTCTGCTTGGTACTTATCCAAAGGACATGAGTGTGAGTGAACCTTCAGCAACTGATTCAATGGTCATAAGTTATATCCCAGCAAAGTTGCTTTAGAAACATATTTAATAGTGAGTCTGCAGGTTAGATTGTGTCTGTCCCTACTGTATCCACGTTAAGGGCGTCTGGGGCAGGAAGCCGCCTCAGCCCCGAGGAGCTGAGCACAGACGGGCTTTGCTCCACAGGTGCTGAGGAGCCGCCTCTGCGGTCCTGATTCACACGAGGAGACGCTGACGTCACGCTGACTCTGTGATGAAACAATGCAGGGGCCTTGCGAGGGAGGGAGATGATTTTTCATTGGATAGAATAGAAATAGTTGGTGTCCAGGAAGTGGCTGTGCTGGTTTTCTATCTCCCACAGAGTCTCTGATACACAGAGGGGAGATGGCCCCTCGTGAGCATGTCTGACTCGCTGGCTCTTCCCCAGGGAGAGGATGAAGTAGAGGAGACAGGCCAGTCATAGGGGCCAGTCATAAAGTCGGCTCCCAGAGTTGAGACTTCCCGCTGGGCCACTCTATTCACTCACTGGGATGGGCCCTGCCACGTGACACCAGCTAAGGGGAAGCCAGAGGACTGGAACGGAGGGTTTCTTCGCAGCCAGTGACCGGGCTCTGAGGCAGGTCCTACTCGTGCTGGTCACGGCCGCAGACCCGCCAACACCTCGTCCCCAGCGCAACCTTGGGGACCCGGAGTTGGAGCCTGTGCGTGAGGCCCTTGTTGCTGCCCACTCAGAGTGTGCGAGATGCCAGGACTTAGTGGTTTAGCTGCTGGGTTTGAAGGGATTTGGTACAAGCCACTAAAACTTTAAAGCGATGAAGTGATCAGTGGAGTCCAAGTTTCCATTTCAAGAGACTGAGGCAACCTATATAGTGGGGGTTTGCCCAGAACCTAGGGACTGGTTGTGTCTGGACACTAGGTTATAACCAGTGTCCAAAGTCATCAACTGGAGAAACGGACACTAAACTGACTCAGGACTTGGGCGCCCCCTTGTGGGCAGATCCCTGTCCTGCTGTTGTGAAGAGCGCTATGGTTTCCTGTGATCAGCCCTGTGGCCACACGGGGGCTCTGCCGCGCTGCTCTGGATTCTGTTTGAACAGCCAGGACTGGGCGAATTTGAGTGGGGCAGAGTGGGTTGTCCTGGGCGGCGGCATCCTGGGGCTGAGGTGCACCATGGGGAGTCAGAGAACCGGTCTCAGAACAGAGGAGACCTCAGAGCCCTACCCTTTGTGAGGATTCCAGCTTTTCCCCCTAGGACCCTCCTCTCCAGTCTCTGGAGAGTGTGCAATAACCAGCCATGAACACACCTAAGTGCCCAGCACCAGATGTGTGGCAACCAACACAAGGCATATACTCAGTGGAATACTATTCAGCTGTGAAAAAGTTAAAACCTTGACTTTGCAGAACATGGAGAAATATGGAGGGGATTATGCTAAGTAAAATAAGTTTGAAGGAGAAAGCAAAATACTAGATGATTTCATTCATGTGTGGAATATAAAGAAGCAAAGCAGGGACAGAAAACTAAACCGAAGAAAAAAAAACCTCTAGAAATATGACTGTAAATTGAACCTATGGGTGGGGGAGAGTGAGAGCATGAGTCAATGAGAGAAGAGGGACTAATGGAGAATGGTGGAGGACTATGGGCACCTTTAGGAGACTGTGATGGGGATGACAAATATCTGAAGAGGGGTGACCCTGTGCCTCTGACACAGTGTGTAAACCGATGTTGCTTCAATAGAAACAATACAATAATAGGGGAAAAAGAAAAGGAGAGAAAGTAAATTGTCTCCTCCCTCAGTCTCACTGACTGCAGGAACTTGCCTTGGCCTCCTCACTGTCACGCAGGGTGAGGGGCTGGTTTCCCACAAGGTCAGAGGCGGGAGGGGCAGGGAATCCTGGGGCTGTTCAGACCCCTTGAGTAGACACAATGCAGAGAGGGGGCTGTGAGGGGAACCAGGGACAGAGGGTCAGATACACCCCAGTGTGAGGGAGGGTCTGGTTCCCAAGGAGGGGGAGTGTGTGTGTGTGTGTGTGTGTGTGT